TTCTGTCTCCTTGAACCCCAGTGGGCCTCAGCAGATGGCCGCTCACACTGAGCCTGGTTCTGCTGGAGGTTTCTTCCTGTTCAAAGGGAGTTTTTACTCTCCACTGTCGCTATAAGCATGCTTAGTGTGAGGGATTGCTGAAGAGTCAATGAGTCGATGCAATCAGCTGGTTTTCCTTAGATTGAGAAAACTCAATTTGACTGTATGACCTGGTTGAACTGTAAAGTGCCTTGACAGTACATGTGTTGTGAATTGCCGCTATAGAAATAAACTGAATTAAATTGAGGTAAAAAATGGAGAGCAACATGGGAGGAAGCCAGGACATAGTCAGTGTGCTTTATTGTTTCGCTATTATGTCTGTCTGAATCCTCTCACCAGAGCTGCTTCATGTTAGATCAGACATGACTGGCATGGTGTGTTGACAGCCGTACGTTGTGTTCAATGGCATCACGTAATTTAACGGGTCAACCCGGCTCTGGTATTCTCCCAGTAGAGCTGAACAGAGCCAAGGCGATTTAACGCAGGTCACTTGCTGAGTTGTTTCACCCGGGTAAACGTGCTTCAAGGAGCTGTTCCCACCGCCACTATAAGCAGATAGTATCCGGGTTTAAATTGGTTTTTCGGTTACTCAGCATCCCCGACGGTGCACATGAAGCTGCTGCTTGGATCTCATGGCCATACCTATAATCAGTGATACAGTGAAGAGCACACTGCTGCAGGTCCCACGGCCGACAGGAACGGTGAAAATCTTGATCCATTTGAATAAAATGAAAGGACACGTCATTGTTTCCTGACAGTTGATTAACTGATGGGTGGTTTCAGATCAATCCTGAAAGCATGCCTGCTCCAGAGTATGTTACCATGTTGACCAGCCTCTCTAAGAATGAATCCACGTTCATGCTACTGGAAAGTCAGGGTTAAACTTGAAGTTATCTGGCTAACCCATTAATCCTGCCTCATGCCAGAGGCCTTTGGGTCATGCAGGGTCTGCATCTGTATGAAAACGGATGTTGTTTATTAAGATTTTAATTTAGTAAAGATCCACGTTTAAAATTTCATATGGAATGAAACTAAAACCCCATTTGCAATAGCCTTTCGAAACTGTGTCAAGAACAGACTGAGAACGGTAACCAAGATAGCTGTTAACAGTAAATGGAATGCAACTGAACTGGACCATGCCAGACGCCACCGATCCATACAAAACTAGTACTAGTCCAACAGTAAGGCTTGGCACGATTCATCTATGGCTCAGTTCTCTCATAACAAAGAGCACATCAGCAGACCGTGTCATCTTTTATTTACAGTCAGCTGATTCATTTTGAAGGCTTTTGGTCATGTCTGGCTTTGCAATTCATAGATCTCCTCACCTGTTGACAACACAAACTTCATCTCAGCCTGTTAAATATAAATGGCATAAAAAGAGCATGGTGCAACCTGGGATAATGCCAAGACTGAGGCTCTCATTGGAATTTGGGTGGAGGACTTTATCCAGGCGCATAAGTTCCTGATCGGTATGGGCGCTGCCAATTTTGTTTGTGTAATTCCTGCCTTGAGAGCTGTAGTATCATGGACAACTTATGAGAGGTGAGGAACGGTGCTAGCCTGATGTGTAAATGGTTGTAAGAACACAGCTCAGCACGGTTAAAGGATCCAAGCTCAGTCCAAACTCAGCATGGCATGGAACCCTTAGAGAAATTAGGATTTAATCTGGCTTCACCTCCCTTCATTCACAATATGTCTCCCGTTTCCTCTCTCTCTAAAATGTGTGTAACCTTACAGATAGGTCAAAATTGCTGTAAGAGACCACACATTTTAACGACAACTTTATTTCATTATTAATCACGACCTTTGTGAGGAAGTCAGCGTACGCAAGATTCAGGTCCTGCTTTGTATGAAGCAAGCCTTGTAAATGAGGGCCCTGCTCTTTAAAGAGTACAATAAAAATGCAAAAACGGATCTAGACCTTAGCTTATACTCGCACTCATCATCTCCAGCTTCACTCATGAAATGGTCGTGGGGGCAGCGTTCTCAGTAAAAGACTCCCAGACTTCCCTTTCTGTAGACACCAACAGACAATGGCGTCAGATGAAGGAGTTAGCCCTGCAACCAGAGGGTTGTCTATTCATGCCCTGGCCCCTGCTTTCATTGTTGTTGTGTTTTTAAGACAATTCCCCAGCATTGCCTGTATTCACACCATCAATGGTGGATGGAGGGGCCGGGTGCCCCAGTGTATGGCAGCCTCGCTTCTTTCAGTGAATCTCAGGGAAGCTGTGGCTATAATGTAGCTTGCCGTCATCAGTGAGTGAATTTCTGAATGTAGTGTAAAGCACTTTTATCCAGTCCTCTGACTTGAAAAACTGCTAAATACGTACAGGCCATTTACCATTCACCTTGTCCAGGTGTGCTGGGGGAAGCACCAAGTCTTAACAGGCCAACCCAGAGACAAAGTCCCTCCATCAGTACTGCCTCATCCTGAGTCAAGGTTGGGGTTTGGTTTAGGAAGAAACATCCCAGAGGGATGTGCCTGGAACACCTCCCAAGGGAGGCATCTCGGGGGCATTTGAAAAAAAAGGTCAGAGCTTCTTCAGCTGATTCAATGTGGATGGGAAGCAATTTTACTCCGAGCCTCTTCCAAATGACCAAGCTCCTCACCCTCTCTAAGGGAGAGATGGTGAGCCACCTTGCAGAGGAAGCTCATTTCAGCTTGTATCCAGGATCTCATCCTTTCAGTCATGATCCAGATTTCATGACCATAGCTGACCATAGCTGAACTAGTCCAACATGCACTGGTAACAGGTCCAACTTAATGACAGCAATGTGGACCAAACTCCTGCTGCACTTGTACAGAGAACATTTGACCCCTAGTAAAGAGCCTGTGACTCTGTACCTCTGAAGCACATCCCACAAGTACCACGATGGACCTGGTTGAAGGCCTTTTCCGGGTCCATAAAGCACCTGTGGACTGGTTGGGCAAACTCCTTCCTCAGGGTGGATCTCTCATCCCAAAGCCTTGCCACCGGGGAGTTTTCTGATCACCTTCCTGACTTCAGCCTTCAATGTTAGCAAAGCACTGCTATTCCCTCTGGAGGCACTGGACTGTTTACCAGAATCACTATTAGGCTAACCCATAGTCTATGCAACACCTCTAACAAAGCTAAGAAGTACTGGTACTCTTACTGCCATTCTGCCCATAGAACAAAACAACAGTCAAACACCTCCCCACTCCTGAAAGGCGAAGGGTTGAAAGTCTCTTGTCCACCAGAGTAAAGTCCAACACCTGATGGCTGAGCCAGGAGGAAATAAGCTGTCCCACTCCGGCACTTCATCTCTCCCCGTCAGCCACTCCAGAGTAGAAGAGAGTCCTGCCTCTCTACAGGAGCTGGGTTCCAGAACCCAGGCTATGTATAGTGGAGAGTCCGACTAGTTCTAGCCAGTAATGCTTCACCTCCCACATAAGCTCAGGCAGATTGGGTCACCTCTGCCTCTGACTGTGCCCAATCCTCTCTGCACCAGTCCTTCATGTTTCCCCCTGCAGGT